GTCAGCCCATGCTCCTCGCTCCGACCTGCACCAGTCCCCAGCTGGCCATGATGAGCTCCAGCCCCTCCCAGATCTTTCTCTCGCCCATCACGGGGGTCAACATGGACCTGCCCGGACAGCAGACGCCCACGCAGGTCCAGCTACAGCAGCAGCAGCAGCAACAGTACCAGCAGCAGCAGATAGTGCTGCAGCACGACAATGGTTAGTTGTTGGTCGTTGTTGTGGGGGAGTGGGTGGCTGGCGGGTGATCCCGCCGTGGGTTTGCTCTTTCTGTCCCTGTCAAACATCTATCATTCTCCTCTCTCTCCTCTCTCTCCTCTTTCTTCTCTTGTCATACTTACAATGGTCGGTGCTTGTATCTCCTAATTGTGTTGCAAGTGCTGTAAAACTCTTACTAAAACAAAAGACAAAAAAAGAGTAAAATTGGTCAATTGTTTTCTGATGGGGAGGGAATTTCTGTGATTTCCGTTATTGTCCAAGAGATCTTGTTTTCCAAAGTCATTGTTCTAAAGATTTCCTTGCTGTTTAATGCCTTGTTAGTGACGTCTCCGGACTTTCTCTTTGGCGGTAGTTTTGGTGCCCCTGTGTTGCTGTTAGATACTGACTCAGGCGTCGTATGTTTTATATAGTAACACCTCTAGTTTTTGACCCCTGTATGACCTTTTTGTGTTGCAAGTGCTGTAAAACTCTTATTAAAACTAAAACTGCAACTCTCTAGCAACATCGGTAAGCTTTGGCACGTATATGACATTATTGTGTTGCGAGTGCAATAAAAGTCATTGTACTTAAATCAAAAACAGAAAACTCTTACTTAAACTAAGCCCAATTCCCCCCCCCCCACCCCTGTGTGTAGTGTGTCCCCCCGTTCCCCCCGTGTGTTGTGTCCTCCCCCCCTCACCCTCTCACACCCCCAGGTATGGGCATCCTGACCATGCTCCTCGCCCCCACCTGCCCCAGTCCCCAGTTGGCCATGATGTATTGACATAATAACTAACGCGTATATATCTCTCTATGTCTGTCTCTCTCTCTGACACGTATATCTCTCTTTGTCTGTCTCTCTCTCTCTTTAACATGTATATCTCTCTACTCCCCCCCCATCCCTCAGGTATGGGCACCCCATCCATGCTCCTCGCCCCCACCAGCCCCAGTCCCCAGCTGGCCATGATGTATTGACATAACT